CCAACAAAAGATCAAAATAAAATCTACCGAAATGTTACAAATATTTTCATACTATATGTATCATTTGCGAAGACAAGAGATACAAGTTAAAAGATCGAAGACCAAAACGATGGTAATCTCCGAGGTTAACCGTTTCATCGTCGTCATCTGTCAAACGTAGATCCAGAGAATTTTTCTCCGGTGATGTAACAAGAGACCCGGCAATTCCTTTCGATAACGAGTGTTTTACAATACCAAACAGTTTATCCGCAACAATTTTTCGACATGCCGGTCGTGTGCGGGCAATGTATCGTCGTTGAAACGCGAGGGCGAGTTGGGTATTTTCCAGCGGCTGCCGCTCACCACCACCACCACCGCTAGCATCATCGGCTGCTGCTGCTGCCTCCACCACCGTCAGATCCCCCGACGAAAGCCACGACACGGCCTGTGCATACAAACGGTTCCAACGGTTCGCCGTGAACAAGGCTGAGCCGGCGTTCGAATGCGTGCAACTCGCACGAGTGGAAAATACCTCAGAAGCTGAGGATGGCTACAACCACTATTTGTTCTAGTCTAGTCTCGCTTGGATCGCGTAGCTACCCAATTTCCCCCACCGCCCCTCGCGGCTCTCTACTCTCTGGAAACCGATCCTCTCGTCCTGTTCCAACACGCTTTGTCTCGCCTCTCCGTCTTTCCGTCTAACCCCCTTGAGGTAACCCTCGCTCGGTGCACGACCCTTTCCTCATTTCCTCCTCTCCCTTTCTCACCCTTTCTACAATTCTCTCCTCCCTCTCCCGTCTCCCCTCTTCCCGCCGCGCGTTGCCTCTCTCGCGTGTCCGTCATCCTCCGGTTACTCTTTTAGCCAGGTCTCTCCTCCAACCCTCGCGATCCATCCCAGTTTCACCGTCCCCCATTCATCCCTCCACCTCTTCTCCATCCTCATCTCATCCTCGCTGCTGTTCCGTTCGTTACTCGTTCCCCACTCGTCCCTACTAGTTTCGTGCGTCTATTTATCCACCTAGCGGTATGATATTACACCCCGGGGCACACTTTGGCATTCCCCCACGCGGCGCTCAGCGTCGGCGGTGGGCACCCTCGTGACGCACCCTCTGGCTCGAGCCACGCCCAATCGTGGCCCACTGAACACCTCCCGTACAGCAGCCAGTCCATTGGCCCGCGCTGACTTTGCGTCATCGCCACCCCGGCACTTGCACCGCGTGTTTCACGGATACACCACCGCTGCTGCTCCGCTGCTATCACCGTCGTCGCCGCCGCCGCC